CTGGGCTCAGCACCGGGCTCTGGCACAGGGCAATCGAGATGTGACAGGAGATTGTCAGTCAGAATCAGCAGAGGGAAGGGCTTAAAGGGAAAGGTGCTCCCTGGGCCCGGCAGGTCGGAAGGTGAAAGGCGGGGCTGGCGGAGGGCGCGCAGGGCAGAGGGCACCGGTCCCACCTGCAGCCGCTGCTGCCCACCCATCAGGCCCCTGGGCTGTGCAGGAGCGGGACTGGCCCGCTCAGACCCTTCCTGGTATTTCAACGGAAGCTAGACACTGGGATTCCATGTGGAATTTCCCAAACCTCGAAACCCCATCTGAGCTCAGCAGAGCGTGTCTGTAGGCCATACAGAGGCTGTGGCACCGGCGGCCTCCGGGGAATGGCCAGCAGGGCCCAGGCTTGGGCGCACTCACTGAGCAGATCAAGCAGAGGCCTGGCCCTCCGCCCTCTGAACCCTCAGGCCGTTCACCTGGGACCCTGGCTGGGGCGCTGGCCCCACCTCGGTCTCACTCAATTCCCTTGTAAAGCCACTGGGGAGACTTGCTGTGTAAGGTTTTATTGGGGTTTCCACGGTTGAGACCGGGTCACTCCTGGACTCGCGGGCCTGTCAGTGTCTGTAAGAGCCAGCAGCCTCCGAGTCCCCTCCTGTGGGTAGTTCACACCCCATCCCCCAACAGACCCCTTCCCCAGGGGCGGCCACTGCTCGTCCATCTTCATTCCCTTTAGCTGTTCAAACAGCCACGCATCCTCCTGCAGGTCTCAGACCAGAGGGTGAGCCCAGTGTCCCAGCAGCTGTGGGCCACTGGGGGTCCTCTGTCAGTGCCACAAAGAAGGGCCAACTAAAACCCACCTGCCAGACCGAATTGCTGGGCCACCGGGATATCGGTCAGGCAGTGCCGGGCTGCCTGTGACGGCCGGTGATGGCACACACTCTCGGGGCCTGGGCCACCCCCGACACCTTGTTCCCCACACGGCTCTGCCGAGGGTTCCTTCCCTCACGCTCTCCCTCTGCAGAGTGGCCTCCAGCACCTGTCCCACCAGCCACCTGCCCAGCTCCTTACTGCGGGGGCTCTGCTCCCACGGCCTGCGAAGTCTGGCCTCACTGTCTTGTCCTTACTCTAGTGCAGTGGTTCTCAACCTTCCTAACGCCGCGACCCTTTAATACAGTTCCTCATGTGGTGCTGACCCCCGACCATAAAATTATTTTCGTTGCTACTTCATAACTGTAATTTTGCTACTGTTAGGAATCATAATGTAAATATCTGATCTGCAGGATGTATTTTCATTGTTACAAATTGAACATAATTAAAGCATAGTGATTAATCACAAAACAATATGTAATTATATATGTGTTTTCCGATGGTCTAAGGTGACCCCTCTGAAAGGGTTGTTCAGTCCTCAAAGGGTCGTGACCCACAGGTTGAGAACCGTTGCTCTGGTAGGAGCTCCGATGCCTGCCTGGTTCTGCAGCCCCCGGGCCAGGCAGTGTGGTCCTGGGCACAGGGGTTGGATGCGTAGCCACAGGCCGGGGTGAGTGGGGATGAGCCCCGTGTGCTGGGCAGTGTGGACCTGCGCTGCTAAGTGAGGAGCGGGGCCTCTTCGGTTCTGGTGCTGGCGGCTGGAGTGCAGTCTCTGGCTGAGCCCTGGTCCTCAGCTCTGGGCCATTCAGGGATTGATCTAAGGTCCTGGGGGTTCCCACACCTGCAGCCTCACCTGGGAACTTGTTAGAACTGCAGTTCTTACCTCCATCCTCCCCCAGGCCCACTGTGAGAGAAGCTCTGCATCCCCCATGTGTGGACTGGGCCCCCGGGGGTCCTAAGGAAGGCCATTCTGAGACCACTGGTCTGAGCGCTTGGTGTTGGCACGTGGGATTCCCCAGGATAAACCCCGCCGTAGGAACAGCCGTGTGGGGAACAGGGCTGGGGAGCTGGGGGGCTGGGAACCTGTGCCCTGTGCTTGTGTGTGACCACGTCCACGTGGAGACATGGGGGACTCGCAATGGCGGCAGCCCCGGCGGCGGTGGGAAGTTTACATCCCGCAGTGGGGGTTTTCATGTTCCAGGCCTAAAACTCGTGTGAGGGTCTGACTTGATCTCCCTGGGGCCAGAGCGTACTTTTCAGGAACCTTCTGCAGCCTAAACCAAGGGGTGCCAGCCCGAGGGAGTGTGCCTCCTTGGGAGGTGACAGCCCCCAAAAAGTGAGGCTGCAGGCGTGGGCGGCCTGGGGTTCCGACACTGGAACGCGTGGCTGGTTCTCGGGACTCCACGTCCCCCAACCACCCAGCGGCCGGGCCTCTGCAATTTCTCAGCATGAGAAGGGGCGCCTGGGTTTTGGGGACTCGTGGTTCCAGGCACTTGCTACAGGGCCGCCTCAGGCCAGCCTCCCCGTGGGCACTGTAGGCCCTGAGGTTGGGCAGCCAGGCCGCCAGGCACTTTGCCTCTTTTTATTTTCTGTAACACAGAGCTTTGCAACAAAGGAGCCACCATCTTCCAGACAAAGGGATGGAGGCTCCCACACATAAGCCTCCAAGGCAGGCTACCCGCAGAGCGCAAGGTGCTGGTGTGGCTTCGAGGCCTGAGCACAGGTGTTAATACAGCAACACCTTCACCAGCATCTAGCAGGGGACACCCACCTGAGCTGCCCTCCGGCCGCGGAGGGGCTCAGCACCAGGTGTGCCTCCCGGGGCCATGGGGGCCCTGAAGAGACCCCTCCCTTTTGTCACCCGGCCTCCCCTGGAGCCCTGGCGGCCCCAGCGCTACTGTTGGGGGCATTCTCCGCCACCGGCCCACCGGGTGCATAGAACTTGGAGAGAGGAAGGTGTCAGTGGTCAGGGGCCAGGGACCAGGGGTCATGGCTGGGGCACGTGTTTGGAGAGCTGTGTGTGCGGGACTCCCACTGAGGAGGCCATGGGACTAGCTTCCTGTGTGGGGAGCCTGGCCTTCGGGGTCACTGTGCTTATGCAACAGTGAAGAGCGGGAGCAGCTGGGAGCAATCTGCCTTTAAAGGCAGCAGAGCATTCGCGGGCGTCTCCGGAGGAAAACGGGCACCACCTGTGGGGAAAGTCTTCACTAATGAGTGTGTGAACCCGAGGCAGCGGGACCCCAGGTCCCGGTGGGTGCCTGTGTGGCTCCTCCAAGAGCTGGCCTCCCACCCAAACTGTGCTCAGCTCTCGTGGGCTCAAGGCTCCCCCTGGTGGCCAGACCAGGCAGTGAGCCCAGTCCCCACCCTCCACCCCAAGATGCCTGCTCGGCCTGAGAAAGGCCCCGAGGGGCTCTGACAGACCACTGACCCCCCCCTCCCCCCACGGGTGAGCGCCCTGGACTAGTTCCCGCCTGCCGCCGCCCTGGGTGGGACAGTGTGTCCTCCCTGCTCCGACCGTGGGTGGGAGGAGAGTGAGGCTCTACCGGCCCTCCCCTCGAGTTCCTTCCCTCCCCCCGAGTTCCTTCCCTCCCCGAGGCTGTCTGAGCAGGAGGGTGGACGCTGCCTGCCCAGCCCTTCCCTCTGGCTGTCATTTTGGCACCTTTGGAAGTGCCATTCATTTCTTTCACATTGAGAGGTGTTCGCAGAGGAGACCGGAGCCCTGGGTCTCCTCACCGCTGCCTGACCCCCCACACAGCAGCGTGGCTCCTGAGCCGGGGGCACTGGCCAGGTCATCCTCCGACCCGCGTTCCTGCCGCTTCGCGAAGGGGCTGAGCGAGGCTGAGCCCGGTGCGCCCCCAGCACCCCCTGGGCCCGGCAGCCCTCGCGCCCCCTCCCACGGCGCTCTGGCCAGACAGTCAGGACCCGCCAGCTGGAGCCGCCCGGTGTGACAGATGCGGACATGTGTATGCGGTGCTTGTGCCTCCATCTCCATATGGCTGCCCAGTCCCCCCTCCTCTCAGGTGTGAGGGCAGGCATTGGTGTCCCCACTGAAAAGATGGGGAACCTGAGAAATTGCTGGTCTGAAACTTTCTTCTTTTGAATGTATAGTTTACATTCTGCCGCCCCACAGAATGCATAAAAGACAAAAAAATTTAAAAGTCTAAACCAATTTAAAAGGAGCTTTAAAAAAGGGAAGAGCCCCAGCTGGCTTGGCTCAGTGGATAGAGCCTCGCCCTGCGGACCAAAGGGTCCCAGGTTCGAGGCCGCTCTCAGGCCTCATTGCAGGCTACTCTCAGGCCTGGGCCCTGGTCAGGGCTCCTGCAGGAGGCAACCAATCAATGTGTTTCTCACACATGATGCTTCTCTCTGTCTTCCCTCTCTCTTCCTCTCTCCCTAAAAATCAGTAGTCCGCAGGCCGACGCTCTATCCACTGAGCCAAACCGGTTTCGGCAACAAATTGTTTTTAAAGAAAGAAAGAAAAGAACGTGTGATGGTCCACAGAGCAAGGAGGTAGGGGAGGTGAAGCAGGCTGAGGGCTCCGTCCTTCTCTCCTCTCTGCCCCCGCCCCTGCCCGGCCAGCCAGCGCTGCCAGCCCAGGGAGCAGGTGGCCGGTTCTCGGGCCTGATCCTTTTGGTTCTCGGATGCCTCACCTGCCTCTCTGAGAGGGAAATCCTTCCTCACCCCTAGTCTTCACCTCACCTCCTTGCTTGCCCAATGCCTCGAGGAAACGGGTTTTGCCTGTCTCTGGGGCCCCAGGAATGGCCCAGGCTGACCTGGGCCTGAGGATATGTGGAGTGAGTCCTGCCCTCTGGACTTGTCCGAGAGCAGGGTAGCCAGACAGCACCCTGCACTTCTCCCCCAACAGTTGAGGTCCCCTGGGTGGAGGCAGGCAGGGGTAGGGATGAGCAGGATCAGCTGGTGCAGTCACTTGGCATCCGCAGGCTGAGCTGGTTCTGTCCTGGCCCTCAGTCTGGGGAAAGCTCTCCTGATAATACAACAGGACTTGTGAGCTGGAGCCACTGAGGTACCCCCGATGGCGCAGTGACAGCACCCCTGAAACAGTGGGGCTACTTGCTGAGACCACTTTTCCCTTGGGGCTCATGGAACCTGGGCTCTGAAGCTGGGCCAAGGGACTGACAGGAGCACCCAAGGCCTCGCTCGGAAACCACTGGGGGGTGAGATCTCGCTTCTCCTCGCCCCCCAACCTGTTTCCCACACAGGCAGCAGCTACGTGAATGGGCTCCAACATGTGCCCCATGACATGTGTGACTTTTATCTCATTTGCTCATCGGAGCAGCCAGGAGGCAGGTCCCATGGATGGTCCCCTTCTGCCACGAGGAAACCGAGAAACTATCCAGTAACGGGCCCAGGTGGACAGCAAGGAGGGAGCAGTGTGCGTGGGGCCCGCAGCACAACTTCCCGGGAGGGAGGCTGTCACTGTTCGGGGTAGGGCCCCAGAGCAGGCAGCCCCTCAGAACCTCATTCCCTCCGAGGCCTGCCAGGGCCAGTGCCCACCGCTGGGGGGGGGGCAAAGTGGAGAGGTGACGCGGCCAGCTTGCTCTGTACAGAAGCCTTTACTGGGGAGGGGTCAGAGTTCATGGATCACTGGGAGGTGCAAATAGAGAGTTCTGAGAATGCTGCTGGGGCGCGAGCTTGGCGGGGAGGCTGTGGCCCGAATGGGTTGCCGGGAAGCGTGGGAGCCCTGGTGCCAGTCCCTTAACGGTCCCACCGGACAGCGCCTGGGTGCCCTGGCATCATAGAGCTCCCCTCTGGGGCACCCCCCGGCCTTGCTGCTCTCCATCTCTCTGTGAGGACCCCCAGGGTCCGCAGGGGGACCCGTCCTCCTTGGCAGGCCCCTGCATCGTGGCTGCTTTTCCTGGGACTGCCCAGAGAGCCAGCCCTGGGGATCAGCAGTGTCCGGGGGCTGCTGGCCGCTGAAGTGAGTGGTGAAGTCCTGCTCGCCGGCCCGGGCTTGCCAGGGGCATCTGCTGGGCCGGGCCCTGGCTGCAGCCTCGGTCAGTGCTGAGGTGGGCTGTGCCAGCTGACAAATGGACCTCCGGTAGTCATCCAGGCTCGGGGAAGCCAGGGGGTCCTGCCTGGGCCCCCCAGGCAGCACCTCCTCCCAGCTCTCCCGGATTGTGGGCAGACGGGCCACAGAAAGCAGAAGCCGGGACCTCATGGCTGCCGACGGCTGGGAAGCAGCCACCTGTGGGGTGACAGAGAACTGGGGTGAGGGTCTGCCATGCCCCTCCTGCCCCCTGCCCCCCACTCCAGCTGAGGCTGCCTGTGTGAGTTTGCAGAGC